ACACGGACCTCACACGACAGCAAAGTTTGAAAATCTGAAGTCATTGCTGCAATGCAAATTGGCACGCTGTGTGTAAAACCGAGCTGTGTATGCTTGCAGCTGTTCCAAAGAAAAGATGCTGCTCATCAAATGGCTTTTGATATCCAACTACATTACATCTACTGGTTTCCCTTCATCTATATTGCTTGTTAGCACCTCAAAGAATTTTAGTAAGTTTGTCAGGCATGATTTCCCCTTCATGAAACCATGCTGACTCTGCTCAGATATGTGATGCATTTCTGAATGCTCTGCCATTACATCCTTTAACAAGAGTCAAACATTTCCCTGAAGACAAGTGCTAAGCTAATTGGCCTATAAATAATTGGATTTTCATCATCTTCTCCTTTTGAATCATCTTAAGAATCTACGGATCTTTGGAAAACTACTACTAGTGCATTCACCATTGTTTTAGCTACTTAATTTACACCCCATCAGGTCCAGGGACATATCAACCTTTAGCCCCATTAGACTCCCTAGCACTTTTTCTCTAGTAATATTGTTATTCTATTTATCCCAAACCTAGAATACTTCCCTCTCAATGGGATATATCTTTGCTGGGAATCCTGAACATTTTTCTTAAGACACATTCTGCCACCATTCCTTAACTGCCATTACTGATAAAAACTCAAGTCCATTCCAGCCCTCTTCCCTACCTAATTATCTGGATTTTAAGTTCAGCAGAATGTTTCTGACCTCAAATTTTTCACTGAAACTGAATGCTGAATTCTGCCATATCATGCCAGAGGAGTGGTGGCATAGTGGTAATATCATTGAAGGCAGCATGGTGGCACAGTGGTTAGCACTGATGCCTCAGCGTCAGGGACTAGGGTTCGATACCAGCCTTGGGTGACTGTCTGTGGAGACTGCATGTTCTCCCTGTATGTCTGCGTGAGTTTCCTCCCACAGTTCAAAAATGCACAGGTTAGGTGGACTGGCCTTGTCAAAATTGCCCAATAGTTTCCAGAGGTGTATAGGTTAGATGGATGGGTTATGGGGACTGGGTGTGTGTGTGGATTCGAGGGGGAGAGGTGGTGCAGACTCGATGGGCCAAATGGCCTCTATCTGCACTGTGGGGATTCTATGGCCACTGTTTTCTAGGGATCTTTTATCATAAGATTGTTTATTAAAACAGTCTCATCACACATTACCAGATCACAAATAGCCTAAACCCTGGTTGGATCCAAAACACATTGTATCTGGGACAGTTTCCTCAAACATTCTATGAATTCTTGCTTGTGGCTGCTTCAGCCAAAGCTCATTCCACTCCTTGAACACTCAAAACTTTTAAGTTAGATGAGTAAACATTTGAGAATGAGACAAGAATAATCTCAATGCTAATCACAAAAGATATATATTTATAAATTTCCTACGTTTATGCAGAGGTTGAACCGCAAGGAAAACTCTTGCACTTCTATTTTAAAATTCAGAAAAAGGAATTCAAGAGGTCATTACGTTGAGGGAGACAGTGGTAAAGTGGTAATAACAATGAACTAGTAATGCAGAGGCCAAGGCTCATGCTCTGGGGACAAGGATTCAATGCCCACCATGGCAGCTATCAAATCTGGAATTAAGGCTAGTTTCAGTAATGGGGCCATGAAACCACCATTAATTTTCATAAAAACTTAAGTAGTTCATTAATGTCCTTCAGGGAAGGAAATCTTCCATCCTTACCCAGTGAGGCAGACATACAGCATGGAAACAGAACCTTCAGTCCAACTCATCCATGCTGGCCAGATATCTTAAATAAATCTAGTCCCAGTTGCCAGCATTTGGTCTGTATCCCTTTTTAAAGTGTACAGGATCAGGTGTGAAGTTTGACCTTCATTGTTAACTAATCTTGGCTGTACTGACATTACAGATGACCTTGGGCTAGGGATGGAGAGAATGTATCCCTTCCAGATGCTTTTTAAATTCTAACCTTTTAAATGCTGTAATTCTACCCACCTCCACCACTTCTTCTGCCAGCTAATTCCATACACGCACCACCCTCTGCATGAAAAAGTCCTTTTAAATCTTTCCCCTCTCACCTTAAACCAATGTCCTCTAGTTTTGGGCTCCCCTACCCTGGGGTTAAAGGCCTCAAATTTTCACCCTATCCACACCCCTCATTTTATAAACTTCAATAAGGTCACCCCTCAGCCTCTGCTCCAGGGAAAATATCCCCAGCCTATTCAGCCTCTCCCTATAGCTCAAACCCTGGCAACATCAATGTAAATCTTTTCTGAATCATTTCAAGTTTCACAAGTTTCTTTCCTATAGCAGGAAGATCAGAGTTGAACACAATATTCCATAAGTAGCCTAATCAATGCTGCAACGTGACCTTCTAATTCCTATACTCAATGCACTGACCAATAAAGGCAAGCATACCAAACACGTCTTTCACTACGCTGTCTACCTGCAACTCCACTTTCATGGAACTATGAACCTGCACTCCAAGGTCTCTTTGTTCAGCAACACTCCCCAGGTCTTTACCATTAAATGTATAAGTCCTGCCCGGATTTGCCAGCCTACGTATCATGCCAGACCATATCAAGCAGTGTGGTTTTACTCTTAACTGCCCTCTGAGATGGCAAATCACCCAGTGCCAAGGGCAAATAGGTATAGACAAGTGCTGGCCTGATCAATGATGCATACATCCCATAAGAAAGCAAATAAAAAGCTTTTTGTCATTTCTTCCAGAGGCTGACTCTTACCTGTCTGTACAAACAAACAGTCTGGTAATCCAAAGTGCCACAGTAAAGAGAAACTTAGATTATACTTTGTGAATCAAATTAGAATACAGCGGCTTTATTTCTCCACTGTCAATACCATTCCTATCCAAATACTGACAGACAGACTGCCAACCCCTCGAATAGGAAGCTCTTTGGCACCTCCAAGAGCATCAGGTCACATGAGACATCAGAGCTACATTCTCTCCATCCTTAGCCCAAGGTCATCTGTAATGTCAGTACAGCCAAGATTAGTTAACAATGAAGGTTAAACTTCACACCTGATCCTGTACACTTTAAAAACATATCAGGTAACACATTGTATCCATTAAATCATAGAGAAACCTTTGCTGTTTGCAAATTATTTTACTGCCTCCATTTTTTTTAAATCAGCACAAATAGAGAAGTAACAAAATTGACATCTTAAAAAATTCCAACCAATTTCCTGGACACTGATTTTCAAGTGGAAATCTATTTATGTAACCAATGTTTCTAACAGAAACAGGCAAGAACCTCAGCAAACCAACCTAGTGCAGGTTTAATCATTAAGTTGTTGTCACAATGTAATTTTGATAACGCATTTGTTTGTTGGACCTGCATACTATATGCAGATGAAATTAGTGCAACCTAGGTACTGTTGAACACAAGTGAAAGAAAATCACTTTATCTGGTACATGTCAGGTTTCAGGAGGAGTAACTGCCTCCCTGTTCCTTGTGCACATTGTTTCACGTTCCTTACCCTTTAAATATTATGGGCCACTCAAAGTAGCCTCTCTACTGGAGCTACAGGTCAGTGCTCTTTAGTCTAGCCTCCCAGAATAGGGTGCGAGTTACAACAATTGCTCAAAACTTAAGAGTTTATAATCACATACTGAACTACCACCCCAGATAGCTATTAGTACATGTTCAAAACACTTTAGTGTACTTTTAAAAAGTAGACAATATACTAACAGGAACTAGAGTTGTAAACTACATGCCCTTGCATATTACGTCTCAGAGGTCCACTCTCAAATTTCACTTGGAGAAAAGCAACTGGAGGCTAATCGTTTCTCCACATGGAGGTGACAATGGAAGGTCATTTTAGGACCCATTCATCTCTCCTAGTGGAAAGTGAGAGAACCACATTCAATTGATAAATAAGAGAGAATCAGTTATCCAGGCTTTTGAGGTAACTCCTCTATCAATTAAGTTAAGGCTGATCTGCAACAAAGCTCCATTTCATTTCAACTTATCCAAAAAGAGTTTTACGTTTAAAAGTATTCATACATGGATTTGGGTGTCACTGGCTAGGCCAGCATTTATTGCCCATCCTTAACTGCCCAGAGGCCATTTAAGAGTCAACCATATTGCTGTTGATCTAGACTCACATGTAAGCTAGACCAGGGTTAGGGTGACAGATTTCTTTTACTGAAGGATATTACTGAAAGATATTTTTTTAAAACAGCAATCAGCAGTAGTTACATGATAACTAGTAGGCTCGTAACAAGCAATCAACCTCACTCTTACAGCTACAATTGCCAAAGCAACAACAGCCCTTGGGACCAGGAAGAAAAAGTTCCATATTTTTACGTCCTTTCTTCATTTTTCTCTCCATCAGCAGCAATGGAGGACTGTTGGGGGATGAAGTTGTGTGTGTGTGTGTGTGTGTGTGTGTGTGTGTGTGTGTGTGTGTGTGTGTGTGTGTGTGTGTGGAAAGACAAACAGTGGTAACAGCATCTCCTTTACCTCACTGAAGCCTAATCCACAGTGTCGTCTGTTCCTTCCTGATAGCTGACTGTCTAAGCTCTGATGAAACTGATGTTCCAGTTCCTCATTTATTTTCTTATCTTCATCACCTAAAACAAAAACCAAATATCTTCACTTCAAAATGCCATCTCAGCCATTCCTTGAACTGATTTAGATAAACTACTTTTATGGGACAAGTACAGGAAGCAGAAGACAAAGCTGCAGTCAGTCTGTTGTGGAGGGAGCCAATAAAACCTCACTCCTTCTCCCACTTCCATGGTAAGAGTTTAAAAAAAATTCCTTACCTTAAAGAAATGATCACTAGGATAGAACAGCAAAGCCATTTACCCATATTTAGTGTAAATTCTTTTTATAACAAGTAATTAGTTTCAAACTTTATTTTGCATAATTCTTTAACATACCTTGAGCATCCAACATTAAATCTTACCATTGCCAATCGCAATGCTAAGTAATCCTGGTCTTCTAGCTTCAAAATGAAAGCCATATGTACATCACCCCCAAATAAAAATCTCAAAATTTCTGACATGCTAATATTCATGGCTAAAATAAAATTTTATAACTTCTGGTCATGGTACTGGACTAACAACCAAGATGTGAAATTAATAAACCAATACTTTTTGGCAAAATTTAATTAATTGTTCTGAAATGTACCCATTACAAAAAAATCAGCAGCAAAAAACTTGGTCAATTGCTACACAATTGCTAAAAGTGGATTTAATGATTCCATAAATAATAACTGCTTTTGTATGGTTCTTTATGTATATCTATTTATAAAAAGCCTTACTCGTAATTCAACACATTTAGAACAAACTGAAGAACCGAAAGATTGTCTGGCTCCTGCGTGGAAAGTACCATAATATTGTCGATGTTTGTTTCTAAAGGTATTTAAACTAAAAAACGTGGCACGTAGCGACAAAAAAAAACTGTTACACAGAACTTACAGAAAGAATTGTAAATGTGTGCACATTTCAGTGGAGCTTCTAGTAAAACAAGCCAATAATTCATCAAAATTCCTTTCTGTTGCTCACCTGTCCTAAACAATGAGGTTGATTTATGGTCTCCTGGATGTGGGCGCCCAGTATGATCTTTCTAAAAGGAGAAAAAAAAACAGACATGGCATTTTACATTGAAAGGACTTGGAGAGAACAACTCCAGGAAAGTATCAGCAATATACAGATTCACCTATAATTCAGGGATCAGATTTTATTGTACCAGTTACACGTGAAACCTGTTTTTCCTTGAGCAACAGAAAATTATGAAGCAATCTCCATCAGATGTTACAAAAGAATACCCAAATATCCTCTGCCATTCCAAAAATTTTTGTTTTTGTAATGTAAAATAAACATTTGCCACAGAGTTAGTTATCCTGAATAATGGTTTAACCCAAGATCAGGAATGAAACAGTTTGCTGGGTGCAACTAAGGTAGGTACATGCTGAGCAATATACAAGACTATAACTAATATTTAAACGAAAAGCTCCAGGTACAGTATTTGTAATTATAACTTTTGTACATTGCATTTTGTAACTTGATACTTGAAATATTGCATTAACACTAATTAAATTTTCCTTTACTAAATATTGTACTCTTTTACAATTGCCAAATAGCATCTGAAGGTAACAGGTAATTTAAATTCACTTGTTACACACTATACTTCAAAAGCTATTTGCAAGTGCAATATGTTTTAATGTTAGCATTTAAAAAAAACTCTCGTCCTTGTGATGCTTTCAAGTACATACGTCTTTCTTTCTAAGCTTATGCACATCTCCTTCCTGGATTATTCCAATTCTCCTAATGTTTGGCTGCGCCCAGTTACATGGTGTGTAAAAGGGACTCAAAATTCTACAATGACTGAACAAGCTCCGAAGGAAAGCAAGTCATCAGACCAATTGGGATAGACAGTAACTCTAAAATAGAACTTAAAGATCTGAGAACTTAAAGAATTGAGAAGGAACACAAATAAATGTCTTGCTTTTAGTGTATTTCTACATTAGCATGGCAGCTGTACTTATAAATAATTTATGTTCAATATGAACCATATTTCTTTACAAAACACCTTTAACAGTACCAAGGTGCAATATCTCCATCTGTTATTTCATTCTGAAATGAACATGGTATTTTGACCCAAGCGGTTACTACTCAAACTGGGAGTCTCCTGAAGAGCTCAGGTTCAAGGCGCATTTGTTTGAAACCCAGTGAACTGATCAGAATGGCAATTTTCACAACAAGTATTTTATTGGTTATGCAAGATTTTACCCAACAGGCAAATAAAACAGTGAAGTTCCTAATTGATTGATTTTAAAACCTTGAAAGGAATCAGAGTCAAACAAACACCAAAGTTTGGCTTGAAACACTACAGAAGCATCTAACTATGCAGGATAACATCTGGAAATTGAATGTCATTCCCAGAATCACTCTCCATTAATAGCTGCAATGTCACTTCAAGAGTTGAAGTGGCTAACAGTTTACCAAGTATGCCTAAATGCCAAAAATTTAAGCCCATCTGCTAGCCTTAAAATATACTCCATATCCAAGAGATTTTCTTTCCCACGGCTCTACAATACAAAAACTGTATGAACTTTTCAGACACAGTTGTTCTGAGGAGATGGCACATGGTTTGCGATTTAAATTGATCCTAAATTAGGATGCACTGAACACTACCAATAAGTGGAACAACAACTTGGTATGTTCATCAGCAAAAATGCATCTGAGGGGGCAGGGTCTTCCTCAAGATTATAAATGCATATTCAAGAGCTCTTGGAGTGCAGTGGTAGGGTCCCTACCTTTGAGCCAGGAGACTCAGGTTCAAGTCCCATCCTGCTCCAGAGATGTATCATGACATGTCTGAACAGGTTGATTAGAAAATATTCAAATGCACTTTCAGCAGTTCTAGATCAGCTCAGAAGAAACTCTGTGCATGACGTTTGGATCTGTTCAGATCTCTCTATTCCCCAGAAGACTCATTTTCAATGCTAGTAAATTGCAAAGCAGGGCATCTGTTTTAAACACTGAAAAATGTATTGAGTACACAGATTGCTATCATTGCTCAATGTAGACACAAATCAGCATACACTTAAGCAGCAACTCCTGATACCACTTGGAAACCCTACGAGCAAACGTACAAGACACAATCAAATCAGTGTCTGGAGTCGAAATTTAAATATTTTACTTTTGCTATAGCAGGTGACCAAGAAGAGACTCATCTGAGCCCAACCACAAATCTCATTTATTACTGCTTCAAAGGCATCTCTTCATAATAGTAGCCACTTAATGTGGCACCCGAGTGTCTAGTCAAAACAGCCCATCCAGCTAACCAGATGCAAACCAAAGAAACTCTTCCTCTACAATTTAGCATCTGTTAAGTTGCCTCACCTGCATTATTTTTCACTTGGCTACTGACAGTAAATGAGAATGTCACTTCTGTGGTCAAGAAAACATATCCTCAAATCTTCATATTCTTCATTTTCTGAGTAGAACTTGTTAAATGTGATAAAGAGCTAATTCATAGAATCCCTACTCTGTGGAAAGAGACCATTCAGCCCAGCGAGTCTGCACTGACCCTGTGAACAGGGTCTTAGCTAAACACAACGCCACGCTATGTCTGTAACCCTGCATCTGCCATGATTAATCGACCTAGACATTGCAGACAATTTAGAATGGCTACTGCACCTAACCTGCACATCTTTGCACTGTAGGAGGAAACCGAAGCACACAGGAGAAACCCATGCAGATGTGGGGAAAACATGCAAACTCCACAAAGTTACCAGAGGCTGGAATAGAGTGCGGGTCCCTGGCACTGTGAAGCAGTCCTGAACACTGAACCTCTGATGCCCATTATAAGCTTTCTGTATAGACAAAATACTGAATGCAAACATGAGCAGCCACACGTGTCTAATCATATAGTATCTACCTCCATTGCAATTTCCAGAGTCGGCAAGAAGCCCTGTGTATGATGTTTGGGCTCGTCCAGAGCGCTCTATCATCCAGATGACTCATTTTCAATGCCAGTAAATTGCAAAGAAGGATGGTTTGGAGGGAGTGCACCACCTAGTGTTGCAATATCAATTTCTACAGACTAAATTTAATGCTTTATGATTGGCTTTCTGGATGGTACAACTTTAGCACTTGAAGGAGGTCAGTTCAAAGCTTGATCATGTTGAACTGTCAATTCACAATGATATGCATTTTTAAAAATTTAACATTCATCTCTGATCAAGTTTTTAGTCATCCCTCTTAAAATTGCCATCTTTTCATGTGACTTCAATTTACACCTTGTGAATTGCTTTGGGACATTTTTCTATGTCAAAGGTGCTAAATTGTTGCTTTCAGCAATAACAGATAGAATCACTATAGCGCAGGAGGCCTGCTCCAGCTCTGTGAATAACCATGGTGGCTTGATGGTATTTTGTTTCCCCAGAACCATGCATGTTTATTCTGTTTAAACAGTCATCTAATGTCATCTTGAATGCTGTGATTGAACCTGCCAGCACCACATTTCCAAGCAGTGAATTATTGTAGATCATAACCACTCTTTGTACAAAAAATTTTTCACGTTGTGTTTACTTCTCTTGCACGTAACTGTAAATGTGTACTCATGTTCTTGATCCTTTTACAAGTGAAAACAGTTTCTCCTTGCTTACTCTGCTCAAACCTCTTATGATTTTGAAACTTTAATCAAATCTTCTCCTCTCCAAGGAAACTGTCTATGCTTCTCCAATTTGTATTGATAACTGAAGTTTATCATCCATGGATCCATCCTTGTAAGCTTCATCTGCACTCAATCAATGCATCCACATTCTTTCCAGAATGGTATTATACTCCACTTAAGGTCTAACCAGTGTCTGATCAATGCTCAGCACATTTCTGTTGCTCTTGTGCTCTATGTCCCTATTTATGCTTTAACTGTGTGCTCCATCTGTCCTATCACTTTTAATAACTTATGCACATATACATCAGGACTCTGCACTCCTCCATAGCCATAGCACCCTTTATAACATACTGTCACTATGTTCTTTCTACCAAAACACATCACCTCACATTCTCACAACTTCAACAGCCACCTATCAGCCCACTCCACCAACTTGTCAACATCTTTTTGAAGTCCCACAGTCATCCTTACAGTTTACAATGGAGTCCAAGTTTTATACTGCCTGCAAACTTTGAAATTATCGCTTTACCTCCAAGATCTAGATTGTTATTAAAAACCAGAAAAGGCTAAGCCTACAAAGGTCCCGATATTAATTTTCAAATCCTCTCTGGCCACAGGACAACTGGAGGACAGCTCATGTGGTATCATTATTCAAGGATGATTGTAGGGATAAACCAGGGAGTTATAGGCCGGTGAGTCCAACATCAGCTGTAGGGAAACATCTGCAAAAAAACTGAGGGACAGGCCTAAGCTTAACAAAGTCAGAAGTTGCTGGAAAAGCTCAGCAGGTCTGGCAGCATCTGTGAAGAGAAAATCAAAGTTAACGTTTCAGGTCCATTGGCCCTTCCTCAGTTCTTCACATATGCTGCCAGACCTGTTGAGCTTTTCCAGCAACTTCTGTTTTGGTTCCTGATTTACAGCATCCGCAGTTCTTTTGGTTTTTGTTTTGTTAAAACAAGCTTTCCTAGTGCTGCAGCAGCCATAGGGGCAGCTAATTAAGTAAAATGGTTAAATCTGGTTCTTGATGCAGGATTGGTCTAGAGTGCTTCTAGCACAGAATGGTGGCTCAAGAGTGAAATGCTGGCAGTTGAGGGACGTGAGCCAGGCAGGCATTGCTGTGTCTTGTTTCCCTTACTATTTTCACAGGCCCAGAAGGGGATAGAAATGGACCAGATGTAACAGCTCAGAAAGTGAGTTAGACTAACAGGAGTGGCTGATTAGCGAGTAAATCCTGGTGGCTATTTTCCAATTCATTGTTCAAGCAAGGCTATGGACTTGTCTGGCTTATTTCAATGTAAATTGCAGATAGCTGTAAGAATAACAGGGTTGTAATAGAGAATTTTAACTTGCCATACAGACTGGAACTGCTACAGTATGAAGGACTTGGATGAAGAGGAAAAATTTCTCAATCAATATGTAGATGGCCCTACTACAGAAAGGCCAAAACTTGACCTCCTCTTGGGAAATAAGGCAGGGCAAGTGACTGAGGTGTTAGTGGGATCACTTTGGGGACAGGGCTATAATTGTATTAGTTTTAAAATAGTTATGGAAAAGGACTGGTCCACAAGTTAAATTAGGGCAAAGCCAATTCTAACGGTATTAGGCAGGAACTTTCAAAAATTGATTAGGGGAGGCTGTTAGCAGGTAAAGGGATGTCTGGCAAGTGGGAGGCTTTCAAAAGTGAGACAAGAAGAGCTCATGGCCAGCACGTTTCTGTTAGAGTGAAGGGCAAGGCTGGCAGGACTAGGGAATTAGAGATATTGAGGCTTTGGTGAATACAAAGAAGGCAAATGTCAGGTTCAGATAGCTGGGATTGGGTGAACCCCTTGATATAGTGGGTATTGGAGTGCACTTAAGGAGGAAATCAGGGTGGGGGGGGGTGCAAACTGGGACATGAAAACTTTGGCAGATAGGTTAAAAAATCCAAAGAGATTCTATTAAAGGCAAAACGAGGGAGAGAATAGGGCCCCTTAAAGATCAACAAGGTCATCTGTGTGGAGCCACAGGAGATGGGCGAGATCCTAAGTGAATATTTCTCATCAGTATTTACCATAGATAAAGACTTGAAAGCTAGGTAACTCATGTAAATAAATAGTGAAGTCTTGAAAAGAGCTTATATTAAAGAACCGGAGGTACTGCAGGTCTTAAAACACAAAGGTAGATAAATCCCTGGAACCTGATCATGTACATCCCAGGACATTGTAGGCAGCTAAGGGAGAAATTGTGGAGCCTCTACTAGAGATATCTGTATCATCGACTGTCATGGGTGAGGTGCCAGAAGACTAGGTGGTGGCTAATGTTGTGCCATTATTTAAGAAAGGCTGCAAGGAAAAGCCAGGGAACTACAGATCAGTGAGCCTTATATCAGTGGTGGGCAAGTTGTTGGAGGGGATTCTGAGAAACAGGACCTACATGCATTTGCAAGGACAAGAACTGATCAGGGTTAGTCAGCATGGTTTTGCGCGGGAAGTCATGTCTCTCAAATTTGAGTGTTTTTTTGAACAGGTGACAAGAATATTGATGACAGCAGTGCAAAGACATTGTCTACGTGAACTTTAGCAAGGCCTTTAAAAGTTCTTTCATTTGGGAAGCAAAAGAACAGAAGTGTAGTTTCAATTACCTTAACAGCAAAAACTCTTGCTTTCAGTAAAACAGAAATTGTGGATTTTTTTCATAGCAATATTGGATTAAAATACCCATTGAGAACTACACTGATAAGACTGATCACTATGGGACAACATATACTTAATGAAATGTGTAAATGATCAAAGGTCTAGCTAAATCAATTCCTTCCTTGAACTCTCCAAGACATTCTTCCTTTCTTCAATACTGCAATGCTCTCCTTAGACAAGACCTCTACGCTACCACCTTCCCCAAGTATCTTGTAACCATGAATATTTAACACCCAGTGCTACCTTTTGCTTCAGCCAGGTCTCCATTATCGCCAAAATATGATTCCACATAGCAACATGTAACTGTAGTGCACCAATCTTATTTGCTGTACTCTGTGCATTCACATACATGCAGTGTTACCCTGACTTAGAATGCTTTGATTTCTCCCTTACTCAGACTCCATCCATTGATGGATTACTATACTGTAATCCAGTGCTATCCATTTCTTTAAGTATTTTACGCATCCTGGTATTTCATTCTCCAATATTTGCTCCTGGTTCACAGACTGTAACAGAGATAGTTTAAAGCTTGCATAACAGCAGTAGCAAAATGCTATACAATCCCAGCTCTGTTCAGGTGCAATCTGTCCAACTTGTCCAAGTGCCATCTCTTGCACAGCCCATCCAGGACTTTGTTCATCATGGATTCAGTTTCAACCAAAAACTCTCTTTCTACCTCAAGTTTACTTGTATTACATTGGACAGTCGTCTCATCAAGCTGAAGTGTGAAATGTTTTGGAACTGTTGCACCAGTTAAACATGTACAAATTAGGTGGAGAGTAAAGAATAAACAAACAAACTTACAGTTATGTCATACCTCATCACATCCCCTGGATGTTCCAAAGCACTTCAGTCAATTAATTAATTCTAAGACGTATTCACTTATGATGCAGGCAGTCAGTGCCTACAGTATGGACACACAAACAATTAAGCTGTTTTTGGTGGCTGTGTTTAAATGGAGGAATGTTGGCCAGGAGAACTGAGCTCCTCTTCTTCAAACTGTTCCATGGAATCTCTACCTTTCACCTGAAAAAGCAGAATGGGCCTTTTTTTAACATCTCCTCTAAAGGATTGTACCCCTGACAATGCAGCACTTGTTCAATACCACATCTGGAATGTAGTTCAAACCTATTAAGCAAAGGTGCAATTGACTGCTATCTTATTGGTATTTGAATGTAAATTCTGCGTAGCTTAAACAATTCCAACCAAAACTTTCTTGAAATGGTGAACAAAATACTGTGATGGCTTTGGAAAAAGTAATTTGAAAGGCAAATTCACATCTTCCTTTTCCCAAGCAGCATTATAATCTAGTACAGAAGCGAGCTTCCAGCTTACCTTCCCAGCTCCCATTAGTCTTAAGAATTTTAATTTCCGCTCATCATCACCCAAATCAGCTGATTCCCAGTTTGTGCTACATCCTTTATTCTGCAAAAGAAAGAAAGTAATAAACAGTGGAGCAAAAAAAACAAACTCACTCAGGTATGAGTAATCACTTTTTGTGGTAGTGTTACTGCAATTGCGACGTTGGTGATTGAACATCTGAGACGGAGGCGATGGCCTTGTGAACGGCCTGTACAGAACAGATATTGGGAAGATGTTTTCATTGGCAGGAGAGACTGGGTCCTAAGGCTGTGCCCTCAGAGTAAAGGCAAGACCCTTTAGAAAGGAGAGAAGGAGAAACTTCTTCAACCAGACAGTGGTGAATCTACGGAATTCATTGCCACAGAAAGCTGTGGAGGCTAGGTCATTGAGCATATTTAAGATAAATAGGTTCTTGATTGTCAAGGGGATCAAGGGTTACGGGGAGAAAGCGGGAGAATAAGTTTCTCAACCGTAACAGCCATGATTGAATGGCGGAGCAGACTTGATGGGCTGAACAGCCTAATTTCTGCTCCTATGCCTCATGGTATTATTACTCTACTATTAATCCTGAGACCCAGATATTGTCCTGGGTACCTGCATTAAACTCCTATTATGGCAGATGGTGGAATTTGAATTCAAAAATAATCTGGAATTAAAAAAAGTCTCACGATCCCCATGAAACCACTGCTGATCATCAGAAAAGCACATCTGGTTCACTAATGTCCTTTACAGAAGGAAGTCTGCCCTCCTTATCTGGTCTGGCCTACATGTGACTCCAGACCCACAACAATGTGGTCGACTTTTAACTGCCATCTGGGCATTTAGGGACAGGCAATAAATGATGGCCTAGCCAGCAACGACCATATTTCATGAACAAATAAAAAGTAATTCCTGCAGTAATACTTGGATCTGTCAAAAGGCAAAATTCTTCCTTCTACCAAATGTATATCTTATATTTTTAAATCTCACTGTTAGAAATACATTCAAGTTAATAGCTGCATATCTAGCATATGCTATACCATTTTTTACTTAAATGGTGTAGATTAGGTGAGTTACAGGGCAAGGGTAGGGGCATGGGTCTGGGTGGGATGCTCCGAGGGTCAGTATGGACTTGATGGGCCGAAGGGCCTGTTTCCACACTGTGGGATTTCCACGGTAACTTGCTAAATGTGCAACTAGACAATTTCTTGTAGCAGTTCCATTTGCTGTTCCAAATAATTCTTAACACAAAATGTGCTTTTCATACAATTCAATTCACACACAACCTTGCGATGTTAGCAAATGAAATCCACATCATCTACCACTCGCACACATGCATATATATTCTACCAGCCATTTTCCATTGACACAAAAGTGACCATAAATATGTTTTCTTACAAATTTCAAACAAAAACTTCAAGTTACTTAAATTTAAGTGTTAAGATTTAGTAGTTTTAAACTGCTAATTAAAATCTAGCAAGCCTTCAACGATTCAGTTATAGCTTTAAAGAAACACACTTAATTTTGTAAAGCACTTTATAGAAAACACCTATCCTTATAAAACAGCAGTCTTGAAACCTTACTAGGATCAATGTCACAGAAAAGCATGTTTAACACCAGTTGATAGAACTTGGCATCAGCAGCTTGGTCAAAAATGCTATAAAACTTTACCATGTCATATGTTTTGGGAGAGAACAAAGTACATTGTGCCTACTTCCAGCTGTCATTCAGCGAACTGTTTACAGCACAGAAGGCAATTTGCCACTGGTGATCTCCATTTAAAATTGCACAACTTGATGTACACATCAAGGTGAAGTTCACCTACCAAACTGCGTAGCCAAGTAGTCTCTGAGCAGACGGCAGGTAATAACCAGCTATTTCGTCAAATGAGGCACAGGCAAAAAACTTGAATAATATCCCAATAAATGAAACAAATGCATGGGGGAAGAGGAAGGCATGATAAACACAGCTGTGTTCGGCTAGATTTGCAATGTCATGTAGCACTCAAGTCCCATACAAGCCATCATGAGCCACAGCAGATCTGACTGTGAAGCCAGGTTGAAGATAACTGACAGTAAAGGGATCTTACTGCAATTAAAGAGAGCCTTGGTGAGACTGCACGAAGAGTACTGATCTCCTTACTTAAGGATGGAGATACTTGTCACAGAAGGCACACAAAGATTCACTGGGCTGATGCCTGCAATGGATTCGATTCATCCGATTCGAGACTGAAGAGTCTGGGTCTATATTCTCCGGAGTTTAGGAAAATGAGGGATGACCTCACCATAGCTTACAAAATTCTAATGGGACTTAACAGAATAAATAGAGGGAGGCTGTTTATTCTGGCTGGTGGTCTAGATCCAGGGGCCACTGCCTCAGAATGAAAGGTGGACTAGTTAGGGGTTGAGATAAGGTGGAATTTCCTCACTCAAGAGTGGTTAATCCTTGGAGTCCTTTCCCTGCAGGTCTGCACAGCCTTAATCATTGAGTGGACTCAAGACAGAAACCGATGTATTTCTAGATACTAAAGCTATCAAAGGGTATTGGAACGACACAGGAAATTTGTATTGAGGCAGATATTCAGCCATGATTGAGATGAATGCCAAAGTAGGTTCGTAGGGCTACATGGCCTCATGTTGCTCCTATCTCTTATGTTCATATGAGGAGGGCTGGATGTAACAGGTAAAGAGATAGTAGGAACTGCTGATGCTGGAGAATCTGAGATAACAAGGTGTAGAGCTGGATGAACAAAGCAGGCCAAGCAGCATCAGAGGAGCAGGAAGGCTGATGTTTCGGGCCTAGACCCTTCATCAGAAATGGGAGAGGGGAAGGGGGTTCCCCGTCCCAGCAATAATAACCAAAAAAGAATCCCCCTCGTCCTCACGTACCACCCCACCAACCTCCGGATCCAACGCATCATCCTCTGACACTTCCGCCATCTGTAATCTGACCCCACCACCAAAGACATTTTTCCCTCCCAACCCTTATCTGCTTTCCGGAGATACCACTCTCTCCATGACTCCCTTGTCCGCTCCACACTCCCCTCCAGCTCCACCACACCCGGCACTTTTCCCTGCAACCGCAGGAAGTGCTACACCTGCCCCCACACCTCCTCCCTCACCCCCATCCCAGGCCCCAAGACGACTTTCCACATCAAGCAGATGTTCACCTGCACATCTGCTATTGTGGTATACTGCATCCGCTGTACCCGTTGTGGCCTCCTCTACATCGGGGAAACCAAGCGGAGGCTTGGGGACCGCTTTGCAGAACACCTACGCTCGGTTCGCAATAAACAACTGCACCTCCCAGTTGCCAACCATTTCAACTCCCCCTCCCATTCCTCAGATGACATGTCCATCCTGGGCCTCCTGCAGTGCCACAACGATGCCACCCGAAGGTTGCAGGAACAGCAACTCATATTCCGCTTGGGAACCCTGCAGCCCAATAGTATCAATGTGGATTTCACAAGCTTCAAAATCTCCCCTCCCCCTACCACATCCCAAAACCAGCCCAGCTCATCCCTGCCTCCCTAACCTGTTCTTCCTACCACCTATCCCCTTCTCCCACCTCAAGCCCCACCCCCACTTCCTACCTACTAACCTCATCCCGCCCCTTTGACCTGTCCGTCCTCCCTGGACTGACCTATCTCCTCCCTACCTACACTCACCTTTACTGGCTCCATCCCCGCCTCTTTGACCTGTCTGTTTCCTCCCCACCTATCCTCTCCTCTATCCATCTTCTATCTGCCTCCCCCTCTCTCCCTATTTATTTCAGAACACCCTTCCCCTCCCCCATTTCTGATGAATGGTCTAGGCCCGAAACGTCAGCCTTCCGGCTCCTATGATGCTGCTTGGCCTGCTGTGTTCATCCAGCTCTGCACCTTGTTATCACAAAGGTGGTGGAGATATTTTTTTAAAAAAGTTCCAGGATCAGGGTGGAAAGGCCCTGAGTCACGACAACCCTCAATGACCCGTGCGAAGGGGCTGTGGACACCCGGTGCCGGTGTGAGGTGCCCAAGATTACAGACCCCGCGGCCGACCTGAGGTCACAGGCCTCAGGCCCCTACCCCAACCCCGGGCTCATCTAAACCGCAGCCCCACGGGGCACAGAAAGGTACATTACGTTGGGTGAAGCGGGCCTCTTGGCGCCGTGCGGCTCAGACTCAGGCTCGGCCTGGTCCCGAGGGCGGCCCCTCGCCTTCTCACCGTCCGCCCAGCTCATCACGATCCTGCTCCCGTCCCCCGTGTGAGGGACCCGTATGGAAGGCCCGTAGCCGCGGCCCCGCCTTCCCAGCGCGCGCGCACGCCCCCGCCGCGCTGCACCCTGGGAGCTGTAGTCCCTCCCCTCGCGCAACCCGAGCGAAACCTCCACTCCTGTACTACAATTCCCGACATGCACTACCAGCAGCGGCTCTATTTTCTGCCCGCTGTGCAAAAAAAAGTTACATTGCCAAGCAATGAGGTTAGTGGTGGATTGCAAGAGAGTAACTAATAGAAAGGCGACTGCTTAAATGGTCATCTATCACCCCAGACTGAGGAGGCTTATTGGTTGTAGTTAATCTAAAATATAAGTAATTTCCAATAAACTTCACAATTTAAAATGACCACTTCATTGTCAGCTTTCAAATGAGACAATGTTATACCTTATGGTGCTCACAGTTCCAGAAGGCCTCAAGTATGCTGCCAACTATCCACTTTGAAACACGCAGAGACGTTTTGTAAGGCTATAGCGGACGCTGAAAGGTTTGGAGCAGTCACGTTGCTACAGTGAAACGATACAAATCTCACTGCAGCAGTTAAAATAATTTTTAAAATATGAAGAAAAGTTGATATCAAAAGTAATTATTAAAAAACCACAGCGTCACAAATATTCAACTGGCTCACTTAAAAAAACAGTCTGTCTACATCTGATCTGTGACTTCAGGCCCACTGGTTGACTCTTAACTCCTGCAATTATACATTGGCAGTCAGTTCAAGGGCAATAAATCTGCTGCCTTTATCACTGATGCTGACGTTTTAAGAATTATAAATAGATAAATTTTAGGTTGCTGTTGGCATTAATTTTATGACCCAGATTGTAAAATTACAATAAAGTTATGAATTATATCAAAAATAAAGCATGAAACTGATTAAAAGGAAAAGTGAAAGTTTTATAAATCTGCATGATAAACAGAAGTTGATGGCTTTAATCTGAAGAAGAGCTTCAATCTGAAATGCTAACACTTTTGTTTTACTTGTGCATCAACATTGTTTTTGGAGTGGTGTGATTTTTTTCAAGTGCCATATATATGGTAATTTTCCATTCCTCAACTGAAGCTGCTGACTTTTGTTAAAATATAGCCCTGCAGGTCTCACACATTTCCAAGTTAAATGGTTTTGTCATTGAATCCCTACAGTGTGGAAACAGGCCATTCAGCCCAACATGTCCATACTGCCACTCCAAAGAGCATCCCACCCAGACCCATTCCCCTACCCTTGCATTTCCCATATCTAACCCAAACATCCCTAGACACTATGGGCAATCTAGCATGGCCAATCCATGTATGCTGCACATCTTTGGACTGTGGGAGGAAACCAGAGCAGACACAGGGAGAATGTGCAAACTGCATGCAATCACCTGAGGGTGGAATTGAACTCAGGTCCCTGGCACCATGAGGCAGCAGTGCTAACCACTGGGCTGTCCCCACTGTCTGTTACCAAATATTTTTGCAACATAAAGCTTATTAGAATTGTGGAACTATCCACGCATATTCTTAGGACCAGGTAGGGAAGGATGAAATGTTTTGTTCCTCTCCTTATTTGATTGTAACTGGTATGTTCTGAAAGTGACCTGGGCAAAAACATTAAACTGTTAACATAAGTCCCGAAATGTAACAAATCTACTTGGAATACTTGGATGCAATTACAGATTAAAAGAGGTAGGTAAATTTGGCCAAATATTAAATGATTTAAAGTAAGGGTTACTTCACAGTTTATAGCTATGTTTATTTTGGTCTGACTAACTCACAGGCATTGTCAACATGCAAACATACATACGAAGATACAAATTAGGAGCAGAAATAGGTCATTCAGCCCTTCATTCCTGCTCCTCATTCAATAACATTATGTCTGAATTATTTGTGTTCCAAATTTCACATACCTATTTATCCCTGATAAACTTTGATTCTGTTGCCTAACAATAATCTATCGATTGCTAACTTAAATATATTGAATTAACACATTTCCACTGCCTTCCAAGGTAGGGAGTTCCAAAGTTACACAGCCTTCTCAGAGAGGAAAAAAAATTCCCCTCATGTCTGCCCTAAGTTTGAAACTGTCGGCCACATTTCTGCACTTGCCCACAAGAGGAAACATGCTTTCCATATTGAACAAAAACAAAGTTGCTGGAAAAGCTCAGCAAGTCTGGCAGCATCTGTGAAGGAAAAAACAGAGTTAACATTTCAGGGCGTGGTGACCCTTCCTCAGAACTTTATATATTGACCTTGTAAAAGCCATTCAGGATCTTTATAAGCTTCCATCAAATCACGTCTCACTCTTCTAAGCGCTGCTGAAAATAAGCCCAACCTGTTAAATCTTTCCTCATAAGACAAGCAAGGTATCAATTTAGTAAACGTCCTCCAAACTGCCTCCGATGCATTTGCATCCTTTAAGAAGATCAAAACGGTGCACCTATTCGAGATGTGGCATCACCAATGACCCGCAGAATTGAATCATAACATTCTTAATATTATGTTGTAATAAATGATAGCATTCTATTACCCTTCAAAATCACTTGCTGTACCCTCCATACTAACTTTTTGTGGCTCAGGCATTAGAACACCTAAATGTCTCTGCACCTTGGAATTCCGCAGTCATTCCCTGTTTAAGCGGTTCTCATTTTTTAAATTCTCCTTGCCCGAGTGAACAACTTCACATTTTTCCACATTATTCTCCATCTGCCAAATTTTGCAGAGTCACTTAACGTACCTATTTGGAATGCAAACTTGTTATGTCATCTTTGCAACATTTTCCTACCTTTCTTTGTGTCATCTGCAAGTTTAACAATCATACATTTCTTCCCCTCATCTAAGTCATCGATATAAATCATCAGAAGTTGAGGGACCAGCATGGACCCCTGTGGGATGTGTCTTGTCACATCTTGCCAATCTTAAAGAGACCCATTGACGCATTCTCTATAATCTGACAATCAGACAATGTTCTATCCATTCAGGTATGCTTCCCCTCTGCCATGAACTTCGATGGTTGTATGAAACTCTTCCATGTGGATCATTGTCAAATGTCTTCTAGAAATCCAAATACAGTACATCAATTGGCTCACTTTAATCCACAACTCATGTTACTCCTTCAAACATTCCATAAGTTGGTTAAATGCAATTTCTCTTTCACAAAACCATGCTGACTCTTCCTCAATATATTGAGCTTTTCCAAGTTCTCAGTTAAATTCTCCTCAATAATCAATTTTAGCACCTTCCCCATGACAGACATCAACTCACCTAGAGTTTCCAGCCTTTTTCTTCTATCTCCCCTGAAGAGAAGGTTATAGTTGCTGCTTTCCAGTCTAATGAAATTTTTCCAGAATTTAATAAATTTTGAAAAATTGTCACCAAAGCATCTACCACTTCATTGGCCACTTCTTGTAAGACCCTAGGATGAAGTCCATCAAGACCCACAGATTTATTGATTCCAGTTTCATCAATTTGCTTCGTACTGCTTCCCTAGTGTTTATGATTTCTTTCAAGCCTCTGATTAACCAGTATTACAGGGACGTGGTTTTGTATCCTCTCTAGTGAAGTTAGAAGCAAGATATTTATTCTTGATTTCCTCCATTTCCTTATTGTCTACTATTAATTCCCATACTTACCTTCTAGAACAGTGACACTCAACATACTTACTCTTTTTCTTTTTAGGTACTTTGAAACTCTTGCTATCAATTTTTGAGTGTAAATTCCTCTGTCTCTCAATGACTTAGGAAATGTCAAGTCAGTTGGAAAGTATGGTGAGATTGGCAGAAATAAGATTTCCAACATCCAGAAAATAAAAGCCCAATCATGATTGTGCATGGTTAAAGGCTTATTTGCATGTATTTGTATGAGATTAGTGCTTAGTCTTGACTCATTGGTATGCATTTTCCTCTTCTACCATGCACAGGTTAGAAACTAGACAGCTACAATTCTCGATATGAAAGTCAGAACAGATACATGATGACTCCAGCCTGCTGCTTGCTTCTCTGAGCCTCCTTGGAAAAAAGTCATCATCATCTCAGGACATGCTCCAAGGGCAGCGATTGCCCTCAGCCCCCTATATTGGACACATACAAGTCTTCTTTACATCCTCATGGCATATTTCTGACCACTTACAATACAGCCTCTGCTTCAATGCTGCACTTCAGAGTTCATTGGTCCCTTCCATTTAATGCTGCTGGCAGGCCACTTTGCATCTGAGTCATGAATTCAACTAGGTTGTTTATCAGGGCCCGTCGCTTGACCTCTTGTCCCTTATTAACTTTGCAACTATTTAGGCACTCACAGCATCTCTGCCTTGCTTTGCTTTCTTTTCATAAGGTGGGCCATAGTGAGTCTTGGGGGTCAGCTCAATGAAGGTCAAAGGTTGTTATAATAGGCCACTGTTGTGCAAGGGTAGTTGAGGGGAAGTCAGTTGTGGGAATTGCAAGCAGCATGTTGGGATGCAGGGGCAACAATAATTGTGAATAGGGGTCACCCAGTGTGTAAGGGGGGAGATGAGGTCATGTGTGGGGTGTTGGAACCACCATTCAATGGGGTGACAGTGCAGCACAATGGTTGGCATTATTAATCTGTACAGCTGGTATTCGAGGGTAGTGTTGAGAGATGAAGTGGTAAATGTTGCCTTGAAATGTGTGGAAGCTTAGTACTGAATGGCTTGACGCGAATTGTAAGGAAGAATGAAACATAGGTGGTTGAGGAGTTCTCTGTGCCAAGTAAAACCAGCTTTGCTTTCCATGTTCATGTGAATCATCTTAAGGCACCTACACATTACACATTGAAGTCAGCTGTAACCATGATGTCCTGCATGTGGAATGTGTGGGATACAAAACCTGGTCACAAACAATCTTGACCATGTCATTGGTCATTGCAGACTAATTAATGCTGATTGCTCACATGACAGAATTACTGAATCACAGAATTATTGCAGCACAGAAGGAGGTCATTTGGCACATTGTGCCTGCACAGATTTGATAACCCAGTTCCAATCACCTGCTTCTATTTCCATACGCCTGCTCACCATTTCTATTCAAATAATCATGCAATGCTTCAGTTGAACCTGCTTCCACTGTATTTCTAAGCAGTGCATTCAATACCATAACTACTCGTTGTACAGAAAAGCCTTTTCTTACTTCATCGTTGCTTCATTTGCACATCACTTTAAACCTATGCTTTCTTGTTCTTTTTTTTACTGAATGATTGGAAACAGCTTCTGTCTTTCTACTTTATCCAGCCCAGTGATTAATGTGGAAACCTCTAACAAACCTTGCCTTAACTTCATTCCAAGGAGAACAGTCCCGACATCTTCAATCTATTTTCATAATTGAAGTTTCTCATTCCTAGAACCATTCATGCAAATTGATTCTGCAGTCTCTCCAATGCATTCGTGTATTTCCAATAATCTGGCACCCGCAACTGAAAACGTTACAAAGTATTTGTTCTATTTCTGATATTCCCCAGAGTTCATTGGAGCTGACCAGTGGGTCCAGACAGAATGAAATAAGGGTCATTGTCTCTGGTGCTGCAGTGCTATGAAAGCATAAAGCAATTGAGGGATGTGCCATAAAGTCCAGGAGGAACAGAAGTCTCTAGTGGTTGCTATTCCAAAGCATCCACATGAAGGACTTGCAACTAAAAATCCCCTCAGGATGTGCAGGAGGTACACAAGGCCCAAAGTCTATCATTCTCAATGTTATTTTCTAAAGATGAGCGAGACATATTGTTGCCACAAGCTGTGGATGTCCAAGGACACCATCACATAACAGAGAGCAGGACCTACAGTCTGAAGGAGTGGGTGGCCATCTTATCCCAGCGGCTGTCAATGTGAGAGCTGTGCAAAATATTTGGCGATTGACAGCTTCCAAGGAACCACTTGGGACCTGTGTGAGATCTCACAATCTTAATCACAAATGTATCAAGGCTGTTACTAATATAATTTGTGCTGCATCATAACACTTCATCTCATTTCATCATGATGAGGTCAGTTGCAACAGGCCCCAGCAGTAGGCTTTGCCAACATAGCTGGCTTTTGCCAGGTACAGTACACACATAATGTTGAAAGCAACATGTCACAATATGACTAACGTCATCAATTGGAAAAGATTCCATTCAGTCAATGTGCAAGTCATCTGTGATCATCGTTTGATTTATTGTTGTCATATTACCCAAGTACAGTGAAAAGTTTTGTTTTGCGCGCAGTACAGGCAGATCATGGCAAACAAGGACATACAGATCATAGGATTCTTAGATACAAGGCTACACAGGAGGTGCACAATAGCAAGGTCAACATTAGATTTGGGATTAGAGAGGTCCATTCAGCAGTCTAATAACAGCAGGGAAGAAGCTGTTATTGAACCTCTTGGTGCATATGTTCAAGCTTCTGTATCTTCTGTCTGATGGAAGAGGTTGGAAGAGAGTATTACCAAAGCTGGAGGGGTCTTTGATGTTGGCAGTCTTTCTGCGGCGATGAGGAGTGTAGATGGAATCCATGGATGGGAAGTTGGCTTCCGTGATGGTCTGGGCTGTGCATACAACTTTCTGTAGTTTCTTACAGTCCTGGGCAGAGCAGTTGCCGTACCAAGCCATTATGTACCCAGATAGAATGCTTTCTATGTTTCATCTGTAAAAGTTGGTGAGGGTCCTGATGGACATGTTGAATTTCCTAAGCATCCAGAGAAAGAATAGGCATTATTGTGCCTTCTTGACAGTCACATCTATGTGGGAGGTCCAGGACAGATTGTTGCTTTCTCATCACTTGTAGGAATTTGTCGCTCTCGACCCTCTCCACCTCAGCTCCGTTGATGTAGATGGAAGCATGTCCTCCTCCTTTCTTTCTGAAGTCGTTGATCAATTCTTTTATTTTGCTGACATTGAGAGAGACTGTTAACATTGCACCATGACACCAAGCACTCTATCTTCTTCCTGTATTATGACTCATTATTGTTTGATATCTGGCTTACAATGGTGGTATTGTCAGCAAACTAGTATTTGGCGTTTGTACGAATTTTGGCTACACAGTTGCACGTGTACAGGGAGTACAGTAGGGGGGCTGAGTACGCATCCTTGTGGGGTGCCAGTGTTGAGGATTATCAGAGAGGAGGTGCTGTTGTCTGTCTTCACTGATCGCAGTCTGTGGGTCAGGATCCAGTTGCAAACAGCGGAGCCGAGACTCAGGTCTCGGAGTTTTGAAATTAGTCTGGTTGGGATTATGCTGTCAATGAGTAAGTAGGAGCCTGTTGTAGGTGTCCTTGTTATCCAGATGTTCCTGGGATGAGTGTGGGGCTAGAGAAATGACGTCTGGCGTGGACGCCATCAGTACCACTTAGAGGCATGTACCAAGTATCCTATAAACTACCTTAAATCGTATATCCATGAGAGCTCTCGTGTTCCTGCTTCACTTCAAGAACCAAAGCCCTCACAAGAATTACTTGATAACTTGGAGACAAGGGGTACTGAGTGATGTGAGGTCCTCAATGGGCAATTGCATTAATTAGAAAATTAGAGTACATATTGAAGACATGGTCTGCAACCATGGCTGATGATTCTGATTGACAACCCCACAACTGAGGCTGAAAAATTCTTCAACCGTTCTTCATCCTGGCCATTGT